GTACAGAAACACACGTCCACACTAAAAATCTGCAGCTGTCCTTTTTCTCTACACCACATTTTTTATCTGATTTTGGGGCCCAGTCATGAAAGTCTTGACAAATTTAAAACATTTTTACCTACATTCTGGTTTACAAGCGCCAATGAAAGCTACAACATGCTCCTTCCCCCCCCCTCCATCTTCAGCTGACAAATCAGCACATATTTGCTTGAACAAAAAACGAAGGGGAAGAAGGGAAAAAACAAACCACACCACCCCACTCAACATCCTCAGTCCTTGTATGAATGCATTCAAAAAACCTGGAAAGGCATCTACTGTATTTTTTTTTCAATACAGATCAGCCACTGGTGCACCTATTAAAATTGTTCGATTTCCAAAGCAAATATTATTTTTAATGAAGTGCAGTCCTGCAATTATCCTGTACACTCAAGTAACAGTACTGCATTATATTGTTTTGCAAGGTCCCAGAAACATGAAACTTTTCTCTAACTAATTTTCATAGCCCCCAAAAGAGAAATTGATGAAGTAAGCAATGCAGCATTTGCTCCAGAACAAAATCTTGGGGGGGAGGGAAGAAAAAAAAGAGACAGAAAGCAGGGTAAAATTAAAAATAAATCAGCTTCTTTACTGAAAGTAAATTAACAAACACAGTCTGTTTGCCACTGTATACCAGCTATGCTAATGCTATAGCAGAGTGATTCAGCAATCTACCTAATTAAGCACGAGGAAAGTTTCTTTATGGAGGTTCCATTTGATTTACACCAAAGGATCATCAGTTCTTATTTAACAGCTTGTTTTTACACAAGTCCAGAAACTTTATTAAAAGCATGTCCACTCTTTCTTTTTTTTTAAACAAAGCAAATAATTCACTCTCCACTGAATAGCTCTGTATCATAAAGTACCAAAGTGCTGACATATTAAGTTGTATCTACATTATTAAACTAGTTGGTGGACGTTAATACTATAATCCATACTGCAGACATTAAACCTCAACCATAAAGATTAGTAAAGAATTAATATTGTCACATCGAGACTGAAACCTTAACACTCCAGCCATAAATATTTCTGAAGGAGATGAAAAACAATTAGCATAAATACCAAAGAAGGGCAAGAACACCTGTTCTTTTTCAGGGCGATAAGCATTTTATTGTTCTCTATTTAAAATGTAATGACCTGTGTAATTACAGTAATATTACATTGTATTGCAAGGGCTTGGAATGTCACACTTTGAAAAGTGTTGTCAAAACAATTGGAGGGAGGAAAAGAAAGGACCACCATTAACCCTTCACACCCCAGGGTCTACAGCTTTTGTATTAGGAAGGATTATGTTGTTTGATAAAGGAAAACACCAATTTTTCGAGCCAATTAAAGAAAAAATGTTTCTTTCTAAACATAAAAATCGAGGCAAGGGGGCTGTTCTTAACCACAGCTATTCCCAACTCCCAAACTTCAGGACCAAACACAAGCTTACCCCTACAGTCTCACTCAGCCAGCAACAATTTAGGAGAAAGGAAGATGCAACAGCACTAGTAAAAATAAGAGCATCTGTCAGAAGGGTTTTCTTAAATCACGACACATCTATTTGCTCACCGAAAGCATTAACCGAGCTCCAAATTTAGGCTAAAAATTAAGTACACCACTTATTCATTTTCCAACTCTGAAAGGAAAACAGTCTCCTTTATTATCCCTAACAGGCAGCTACCCCGCTGCCTCTGCAAGTGCAGGGATGGAACTGGCGCTCTCAGATGCGTCACTTCATTACTATTTGACTAGACCTCTATTCTTATAAGCAAGCCACAGTATTCTATCAATAGCAAGATAAATATGCAAAAAATCTTTGACTTTTAAAAATAAAATGATTCCTATCAAGCTTGAGAAATAGTTTGCAGTATTTAAAGCATTATCCTTGAGATAATAGATTATTCATCATAAGCAGATTTTATGATACTTCATAATTCTTCACATTCCTAAAACAGTAAAGGATAAAATGCTGCCCACAAGTTTGCTCTTGAACAGACAATTACAGGTACATTTACAAAACACAATAATCCCAAATAAAACAAAATAACAAAAATCCAGGGAAAAAAAAACAAACAAAAAAAAAACCACACCCACTGACTTTTAAGATTCTACAACAGCAAAAGGGGAAAAAAAACAATTTTGCTACATATCTGCATCACCTCTTTACCTTGCATGCTCTGACACTCAACAAATATGGCTCCAGGAAAAACTACATAAATAAAAATAAAATTTGTAATTATGCAGAATCATCTATACCTTTCCACCCTGTATTTAAAAATAAAATAAAATCAAACAGGAGACAGAAAGATCTAGTTCATCTGGAATTGAAAGCTGGTACAGCAGAGAACTAGAATCCACCTAAAAATAGTGTGTGACAGACAACAGCTATCCCGCTGAATCTTTATAATATTCTGCTCTCAGGCCTAAATAAACAACTTTAATTTTTCCTGGCTATAATTAAGTGGCAGGCAAACAAACAAGCATACGGAATGTGAAAGAATAAGGTTAAGAAGATAGGAGAAGGTTGCTGGAGCCTGGATGTGGAAATAAGAAAATTGCCTATTGAGTGTGGAAATATCCTTTCAGAATTCATCTGATAACACAAGCAGGCCACCTGCTATACCAACAATAAACCAACCTGTAAGCTTTTGTACAGCACCTCTAATTCACACAAACCCAACATTGCTACGGAGGCCTTTTCTAGCTGTGGGGGAGCAAGGGGAGGAAGAATACTCTAGGAGAGCTAACTGCTGAAGGATCCTATCTCCACATGCTAAGCTAAAAAGGATTTGTAATAAAGGTAATGAGAAAAAAAAGAACTGTAGTTGTTGTAAGAAAAATGCTTTAAGAAAAAGGCAGCAGAGGTGTGCTTCCTATTAGTGTACACTTGGAAGAGTGGAACGCACTGAAGGTAAAAAGGAGGAAAAAAAAGGAATACAAAGCTTCCCAATTCATAATAAAGTGATCTGTAACAAAGACTGTTTTGCTATCCGGACTCCGGTACTTATGGAATTCAGAATTTATCACCACCATCCCTACAGATGTGGGTGACTGTATTCAAAAGAAAAAAATATAATGCATTCAGCCCCTGAATTCCCCTCCCCATCATTACAATTGCAAACTGCAGTCACCTCTCTGCTACTGTCCCAGAAATCACCTCCTCGCAAGAAGAGCCTCACAAGCTTCCAAAACAAAACCGTACCACAGCCCTAAATATATGCAATGTCAGAAAACCTTCCTCACAACCTCCCTGTCACTCTGCATTTACTAATCTGTGTCTACTGACGTTTTACTAAGTGAAAACAAAACTGACCCGATGTTTAATATTTTAATGCTTTAAAACACTTGTAGATCTGATACACTGAAGTTGTCCAAGCCCTAAGTCATTAGTACGGCTTCAACATCTACCCAACAGTAGATCTATTATTGTAAATTGCTATCTCGTGTTACCACAAGGAAAAAAAAAAAGTGTATAAACACACATGGTGATGGTGGGGACGCTTCAGATTCAGAAACACCAAGAAGAAACAAAATAGCAATGCTAAAGCCATCGGTAGGAGTAAGTGATGTCTGGAAGTTCCAGTGGATTTGACCGTTTAAAATGAAAATTTTTTAAAACTCTTTTAAGAGGAAAGAAAAGGTGACACTTAAGAAATCTGATGTCAGAGCAGAGCACACCGTGGGTGACACTACGAGCGAGAAAACAGCTGGGACTGCAAACCTACCAGCACACCCCAAAGTTTCCTGGGATCTGGGCTAAACCTCGCTCTAGCTGCAGGCACACGCAGACCTGCATCCCTGCCACTGAACCCCGACTTAAGGAGCAGGAAAAAAAAAAAAAGGCAAAAAACCACCAACAAAAAACCGGACGCTTTCAGCAAACTGTTTTCCTGCCAGCATACTTCCAAGAGGAATTTTGCTCGACTTGTCTGATTATTTTTTGCGCCGCTGTTGTTGTTGTCAGAGCCAAGCGAGGCGAGTTGTTTCCGGACTCAGCCCTGTGCCCTGAGCCCGGCTCCCCCCGCCCCGGGGCCGCTCCCCGCGGCACAGCCCCGGCCCGCCGGGCAGGGCAGCCGCGCTCGGCCCCCGCACGCCGTGGGGCGCGGATCGGGGCGGCCGGACCGGGCTGAGCCCGGCTCAACTCGCGGAACCCGCGGCCCGAAGGGGCACAATAAAATCGCCACTCCTGCAGGCCGGGGCGGGCGAGGGCAGGAGAGGGTTAAGGGGGAGGAAAGGGGAGGGGGAGCCGGCCCAGCCGCCACGGAGGAGGGCAGGAGGCGACGGATCACCATGGAAAACGAGGAGTTTGGAGGAGCGGATCGCAGGCTCGGCTGGGAGAAAATAACCCCCCTTCCCCAAGGATGGGAGAGAAGGGAAAAAGGGGGAGGGGGAAAAAAAAAGGCAACTCCTTGGGGTTTTTTTGAATTTATTCCCAGTTTTGTTCTGAGGTGTTGTTTGGAATTTGTTTGCTTTTCTTTTCCCTCCCCACCCCCCGCAGGGGGAGGTTGCGAGGGCTCCAGAAATCTGCCCACAAACTGAAAGTAAAAAAAAAACAAACGAAAAGAAAAAATAAGGGGGGGGGAAGGAAAGAAAAAAAAAAAAACGGAGATGGCGAAGTGTAAACAAACCCCCTCCCGCCGCGGCCCGCGGAGTTTGGAAAGTTTGCGGCGCGGGGGAGGGGGCGGCGGGCAGGAACGGGACGAGCGGGGCACCGGGAGCTCGGCGGCGGGAGCCAGGGGAAGGACTGGGGGGGGGGGGGGGGGGGAAGGAAAGAAAAAAAAAAAACGGAGATGGCGAAGTGTAAACAAACCCCCTCCCGCCGCGGCCCGCGGAGTTTGGAAAGTTTGCGGCGCGGGGGAGGGGGCGGCGGGCAGGAACGGGACGAGCGGGGCACCGGGAGCTCGGCGGCGGGAGCCAGGGGAAGGACTGGGGGGGGGGAGGGAGGGAAAGGAAAGAAGGGGGAAAAAAAAGGCACTTACCGTTCTCGCCGTCGGAGAGAGCGATCCATTGGGCAGATACGGGCTGCTGAGGTCGGGGATCATTATAAAGGGATAACCCGGGTATGGTGGGCCCTTAAACAACCCTCCATCTTGCCTCTTCGCAGCTAACATGGCGGGGAGACACGAGCAGGAGCGGGGAAGGAAGGGGGCAACAGGGGGAAAAGAAGGGAGGGGGGGAAGGAAAACTTTTTTTAGCAAGTGTCCCCAAAAGGGGAGCCGGACGCCCGGCGGAGGGGCGGTGGGGCGGGCGGGCGGCGGCGCCGGCCGGGCCCGCATACTCACCTTCCTCTAAACTTTCCCGGGATTTATCTCTGAAAGTTTCGGACCGAGGCGGGGGCCGCCGCTCCGCCTGGGAGCGAGCCGAGGGTCGGCGTGGGGCAGTTAGGGAACAGGGTGGTTGGCGTAGGGAGGACGTTTTTTGGGGAGGGGGTCGGGGGTGGGGGAGAAGGGAGGAGAGGAGGAATGAAAAGCGAAGGAGAAGGGAAAAGGTGCGGGGAGAAGGTGGAAGGAGAGAAACAAACAGAACAAAACAGAAGGCATCGTTACAAGTTGGTGCCGCGGAAAAAAGTTGGTCGCCGGCGGGAGCAGGACCCGTCGCGGCGCCCCCGGCCCCGGCCCCGGCGCGGCCCCGGGCGGGCAGCGCGGCCCCCGCCCGACCGCCCGCCGCCCCGAAACGGCCCCGCGGGGGGCTTCCCCCGTACCTCCGAGTCTGAGGAGCTGTTTTGATTCGTTTCTGATTCATTGACGAGAGACGACTTGACATCAGCTAAATCCCTCTCCGCCGAGGAGTTCTCGGAGATCTTCTCCTCCTGCTCCCCTTCGTCTTTGAAAGAGATCAGTTCATCGTTGGCGCCCAGGTCGTCCCCTCCACCGCCGTTCAGCTGCGGCATTTTCCTCCTGCCTCACCCCACCAGCAGCAATTTTGCAAAAAGGGGAAGGGGAAAAACAAAA